TTTAGTTTTCATTTCTCCTTAGTCTCCAATCTATGACAATTATTCAGTCTCTCCCTGTCTTTTATGACATGGACACTTTTTCTTTTTTTTTTTTTAAAGATTTTATTTTTTCCTTTTTCTCCCCAAAGCCCCCGGTACATAGTTGTGTATTCTTCATTGTGGGTTCTTCTAGTTGTGGCATGTGGGACGCCGCCTCAGCGTGGTCTGATGAGCAGTGCCATGTCCGCGCCCAGGATTCGAACTAATGAAACACTGGGCCACCTGCAGCAGAGCGCGCGAACTCAACCACTCGGCCACGGGGCCAGCCCCATGACATGGACACTTTTGATAAGTATTGGTCACTTGTTTTGTAGAATGTCATTCAGTTTAGTTTTATTTAGCAGCTTTATTGAGATATAATTTACATGTCACATAGTTCACTCATTTAAAGTGTGCAATTCAGTTTTTAGTGTATTTACAAAGATGTACAACAATCGTCATAATTTAATCTTAGTATGTTTTCATCATCCCATAAGGAAACCTTGTACCCATTAGCAGTCTCTCCCCACTCCTCCCAATCCATCACTGTCTCCTCCCCTACCAACCCTAGGTAGCTACTTACCTACTTTGTATCTCTACGGATGTGCCTATTCTGGACATTTCATATAAATGGTATGAAACAATGTGGCCTTTTGTATTTTTCACTTAGCATACCGTTCTCAAGGTTCATCTATGTTGTGGCATGTATCAGTACTTCATTCTTTTTTTTTTTAAAGATTTTATTCTTTTCCTTTTTTCTCCCCAAAGCCCCCCGGTACATAGTTGTATATTCTTTGTTGTGGATCCTTCTAGTTGTGGCATGTGGGACGCTGCCCCAGCGTGGTTTGATGAGCAGTGCCATGTCCGCGCCCAGGATTCGAACCAATGAAACACCGGGCTGCCTGCAGCGGAGCGGGCGAACTTAACCACTCGGCCACGGGGCCAGCCCCAGTACTTCATTCTCTTTTATGGCCAAATAATATTTCATCGTATGGATATACCACATTTTGTTTATCCATTATCAATAGACAGGCATTTGGGTTGTTTACATTTCTTGGCTATTATGAATAATGCTGCTGTGAACATTTGTGTAAAACTCTTTGTGTGGACTTGTTTTAATTTACCTTGGCCATATACCATGGAATAGAATTGTTGAGTCATATGGTAATTCTATGTTTAACATTTTGAGGAACTGTTAAACTATTTTCCATCAAATTATTCTCCATAGCTATGAGCTTGTTTTTGTTTGATTAGTTTTTTTTAGACTCCGTATATAAGAGAGATCATTTGGTATTTGTCCCTCTCTGTCTGACTTATTTCATCTAGCATCATGCCCTCAAGGTCCATCCATGTTGTCACAAGTGGCAAAATTTCATTCCTTTTTATGGCAGAGTAATATTCCCGTGTACATATACACAATTTCGTTGATGTTGCAGTCTTGAGTTTGAAATCTACTGGGCAGGCCAGGAGGCTGGAAACTCAGTCAGGGTTTCTATGTTGCACTCTTTTTTTTTTAATTTCAGCTTTTTTGAGGTATAATTGACAAATATGTTGCACTCTGGAGGCAGAATTCCTTCTTTTTCAGAAATACCAGTTTTTACTCTTAAGGCCTTCAACTGATGGCATGAGGCCCACACACATTATGGAGGGTAATCTGCTTTATTTAAAGTCTACTGATTGTAAATGTTAATTACATCTAACAAAACATCTGGACAACAACATAGAGACTAGTATTTGACTGGACAATTGGGCAGTCAAATTTCCTAGCCAAGTTGACACATAAAATTAATCATCTCAATGACCAAGATGAGTATTCAGGACAGAGGCTCCTGCTGAAGTAGGATTAACGAAAAAGAGAAGATAATTTCTAGGACATGTGATCAGAATATTTAAAAGACTTTATGAAAGTAAAAAAATCTTATTTTTAATTAAAGCATTCAATAGATGAACTGAGAGTAGAAATAGTCACTACTGAGAACTGAATTCATTGTCGGAACGATTGGTCATAACACAAAGCCAAACTGTAAAGAAATGGAGGTGTGAAGAAAAGGATAGTTTGGAGGACAGATCCACGAGACCTAACCTGCAAAGAGCAGAAATTTCAGAGCAGAGAAAGAGTAGATGGAAGAGAGTGTTACTTAAATCCTAGAAAAAGATTCTCCAAGCAGAAGAAAGATTTGAATGTTCATATTGAAAAGGGTCAATGAGACACAGGCAGGATTAGTTCAAACACACATCTAGATATATCCTAGCAAAATGGTTAATGTTCAGAGATTAATAGAAATTCTTGTAAGCATCCAGATAGTCCTTTCAAAAGGGTGAGAATCAGAGTAGCCTTGGACGTCTCATCTAAGACATGAGAAACTAGAATAACAGGTACAGACAATTGAGGGGGAGGTGATTCTAGATGTCTACACCCAGTCAAGAAGCATTATTATCTGCCAAAACAAAAGATGCTTTCAGACACACAAGGAGTCAGGGCACAGACCAGGTCCACTGCTTGAGGAAAATACTCAAGATAAGTATCCCTAACCAGGGGACAATTAAAACAGAACGAAGCTTTCTAGATAGAAGACAAAGAGGAAAGAAAACTGAGATGAACTGTGAATCTTGCAACATATAGAATTGAATCTATAGCATAAGTGGAAAATTAATAAAAAGCAAAGATCCTTGAAAATGAAGCATCATACTGTAAGAAAAAAAATAATAGCCCAGCACTAAAAATTTTAAGCTGTATTTGCAAAATCTGAAGGCAGAGGAAGAGTGAAAAAGTAAACTTTTTCTTTTTTTTGAAAGTTTTCATTTTGCTGGGGTTTGGGGGAGGAATGGGCAAATAAAACATTTTGGTGGGGGAGCAGCATAATAATTTAGTTTTGATATATTAATGGAAAGATATTGGTCTAATTATAACTGTTACGAAGATAATCATGAGCATAACTAAAAAGCGTTGCTGGAGGCTGGCCTGGTGGTTAAGTTTGTGTGCTCCACTTTGGTGGCCCAGGGCTCGCTGGTTCAGATCCTGGGCACGGACCTAGCACTGCTCATCGAGCCATGCTGTGGCAGCATTCCACATAGCAGAGCCAGAAGGATCTACAACTAGAATACACAACTATGTACTGGAGGGCTTTGGGCAGAAGAAGAAGAAGAAGAAGAAGAAGAAAATATTGGCAACAGATGTTAGCTCAGGTGCCAATCTTTAAAAAACAAAATAAAATAAAAATATCTCCATTTAAAAAAAAGCATAGTGGGACTTCAAATTTATAGGAGAAAAAAAATGAACAGAAACTAGATCAAGCCAGCCAAACTGGGGGAATGGAAAATAGAGAAAACAGCACCAAGAAATATAAATGGCAAACATAAAATATATGGAAGGAATAAAATCAGGTGTATCAGTTTTTTTTTCCTTAAATGTAAACAGGCTGAATTCATCTGTCAAAAGGAAGATACTGAGTTAAACAAAATCCAACTTTTTGTTGTTTACATAAAATGTACCTAGAACAAAGTGACAAGGAAAGATGGAAAATAAAGAAGTACCCTGAAAGATACACAAGAAAATGGGGGACCAGGTGGCTGGAAAAAAAGATTGAAAGGAGACATTATTTTTTTTTTATTGAAGTATAATTGACATACAATATCCTATTAGTTCCGGGGAAGAGAGACGTATTTTACTCTATATCATATTGTACGTTTTTGTTTTTTTGAGGAAGACTGGCCCTGAGCTAACATCCGTGTCCATCTTCCTCTACTTTATATATGGGATGTCTGCCACAAATGACTTGCCAAGCGGTGCATAGGTCTGCACCTGGAATCCAAACTGGCAAACCCCAGGCCGCTGAAGCAGAACATGCAAACTTAACAGCTGTGCCACCAGGCCGGCCCCCTATATTGTACCTTTTGATATTTGTACCTTGTATGTATATTACCTTTCCAAAAGTAACCAAGAATGAATAAAAGAAATGTGTAAAAATATACCAGACCAAAGCAAGATGAAAAACACACTTTTAGACATCATATAATGTGGCAGTCAAATATATAAAGGAAAAACTACAACTACCCAGAGAACCTGAATGAAACACTTTAGAGCTTTAACAGATGAAGTAGACAAAAAATAAGCTATGATATAGAGGGTTTGAATAATCCAGTCAGTAAGTTCTATTTAATAGATCCACATATAGAGAATACATGCTTTTCTATGTCCTTATATAGTTACAAAATCAATCATGTGTTCAGCCAGAAAGAAAGCTTTATAAATTCCAAAACGTTTTTAATTTAAAGACAGTGCTCTCTGAAGACAAACCAAGAAACTGGAAATTAACAATGAAAAGATTGGCAATGACAAAAACCCCTTACCATGGGGATTAAGAAATACTTTCCTCAACGGCCTTCAGATCAAAGAGGAAATAAAAACTGAAATTATAAGTTGTCCAGGGAGCAAAGAAGAAGAGAACATCTCATTCTAAAACCTATGGGATATAGCTAAAACTGTTGGCAGAGGACAACTTATAAAAAGACAGACAATACTTTGAGAATTCAACTTAGAAAATAAGAAAAAGAATAAAATGAAGCAAAATAAATTAGGAGAGTATTAACATGCAGTTTAGTATGAGATAATGAAAAAGGATGAATAAAAGGATCTGCAAGTAAGAAATATGTCTTTTAAAACGCCTAAGAGAGGGCCTGCCCAGTGGTGCAGCAATTAAGTTCGCACATTCTGCTTCAGTGGCCCAGGATTCAGTGGTTCGGATCCCAGGTTCGGACATGGCACCACTTGGCAAGCCATGCTGTGGCAGCCATCTCACATATAAAGTACAGGAAGATGGGCACAGATGTTAGCACAGGGCCAGTCTTCCTCAGCAAAAAGAGGAGGATTGGTGGCAGATGTTAGCTCAAGGCTAATCTTCCACAAATAAATAAATAAATAAATAAAAATTAAATAATAAAATGCCTAAAAGAATTAAAATTTCTCAGATAGCATAGTTGTCACGATGGACTTAAAGTTGAGAGCATCGTCTCTTATGACGTCACAGGCAGAGGAGTGCACAGGTGATATTCTGAAGTTGAAGTCCTGGATATTTAAGTTTCTTCCCCCACAACATGACAAAGAGCCAGGGATCTCTGCAGAATGATTTATTAGGACAAGTTAGCAGGCAGAGGAGGTGGGACTGCTTGCAGAAGACATAAGGCGGACCTAGAACCACGTGAGAGGGCTGAGGGAAGCCAACAGAGTGCAGGAACAAGGGGAAAATGTCTAGTATGGGATTGAGACTAATCAGGGGGCTGGACTGGGGTACGTGAAATGCAGCAGGGAATTTGGTAACCTTTGGGGCCATGACAGTTGGTACTCAACATGGGGCAAGGACCGGGGTGGTCCCTGGAGACCGGAAGCAGCTCCGGGGTGGAGTGTGCAGGAGAGGATAGACATCATGGCTAGGTGTTCCAGAGGATGACGACCGTGACAACAGAGATGGCCAGGAAGAGCAGGTAGAGGCGGAAGAGCAGGGCGTCCATCGTGTGGCTGAACTGCACCCACAGGCTGACCAAGTGCTGCTTCTGAGCCCCGTCTTCCTGCCGGGCCCTTGTTGACCCAGGGAACTCATTTAACTCTGCCTTTCTGGGACCTGGCACCTTCCCCGCCAACTCCACCGGCTCCTTCACAGCTGTGGAGGGACAGAGACTCAGATATGGGCTGCGAAGTTCACCTGGGGAGGGAGGGGACAGGGAAGAGGAGGTGTTAGAAGAGAAAGTGTGGGTAGTGCTGAGTTCCCTTACCAGACAGGTGGGCAAGGGTGAGGCCCACGTCCTTGTTTCCCTTCTGGGGTGCAGTGGGGCACCATTTCCTCAGGCTGGTGCAGTGTAGAAGCAGGGAATGAAGCCACCAAGGCATGGGTGGGGGCTGGGTGGTGGCCAGGTGCAGCAGGTGGGTGATGAAGATGGTCTCCAGCAGGCTGACCACCATCAGGGACAGACACAGGGCAAAGTAGACACCTGGATGGAAGGTAGGCCTGAGTGAGGGCCAGAGGCATCATCCAGGACTTCTCCCTCTCTTCCAGTCCCACCCTGGCAGACACAGAGCCTCCTTTTCCCAGTATATTTCCCTTCCCTGAGCTAGTTTAGTCATTCCTTCCCACCCTTTTCTTGCCAAAGGCTGGAGGGGCCATACTGATGAGGGGGGTGCCACTGGTGGGGAGTAAGTCATTCATCATGAGCAAGAAGACATTGTAGCCCAGCAGGAGGGTCATCTTGAATGGGGCTCGACTCTCGTTTTCTGCTGGTATGTAGAAGCTGAGGGCATCAATGGCAACCAGAAAGCCACTGGGCACCAGGAGGTTTATGACATAGAGGCTGGGCCTGCGCCTGATGGCCACCTGGTGGAGAGGAGAGAGAGGGAAGTGGATATGGGATTTGAAGGTTGCCAGGAATAGCAGTGACTGTTTCCGTCTTTGCGTTTCTCATTAGTCTGGTATTATCCTGGGATCTGGGGCTGTGCAGAATGTATCTTCATAATTTGGTATAGTGCCCTCTGCCAAAGGAGAGTTAGGACAGAGCCATGAGCTTTAGGAAGGAGTGTGTGGCTGGGCAGCCAAGAGAGAGGGGTATGGCCTCAGGTGGAAGTGGCAAGAATGAGAAACCCTGAAACTTGGAAGATACTCATTTAGTGGAGATTCTAGGTAAGCGTAGAAGCAAGGAAGGAGGGAAAAAGCAAAGGCCTTCAACTCACATAGAACAAGATCTGATCATACTGGCTGGTGCCCACAGACATCTTTGAGGTGGCCTTGTAGATGCCCAGGAGCTCCCATTCTCCGCGGGTCTGTACAATGTCCCGGGATGTTTGTGCCATTTCCCACACTTCTTTCTCCATGCCCAGCAACATGTAATCCACTGAAAGAGAGATCCAAATCATTTTCCAAGGATACAGTTTCCTGTTGACTCAACCGCACTCTCTTTTTCCATCCTTTCTTCCACAAATATTTTTTTTAATTTTTATTGAGTTAATGATAGGTTACAATCTTGTGAAACGTCAGTTGTACATTATTGTTTGTCATTCGTGATGTAGGTGCACTCCTTCACCCTTTGTGCAAACCCCCCACCCCATCTTTCCCCTGGTAGCCACTAATCTGTTCTCTTTATCTACATTTTTAAATTCCTCATATGAGCGGAGTCATACAGAGATTGTCCTTCTCTAACTGGCTTATTTCACTTAACATAATTCCCTCAAGGTCCATCCATGTTGTTGCAAATGGGACAATTTTGTTCTGCTTTACGGCTGAGTAGTATTCCATTGTATATATATACCACATCTTCTTTATCCAATCATCTGTTGATGGGCACTGAGGTTGCTTCCATGTCTTGGCTATTGTAAATAAGGCTGCAATAAACATTGGGGTGCATAGGACTTTTGGAATTGCTGACTTCACGCTCTTTGGATAGATACCCAGTAGTGGGATAGCTGGGTTGTATGGTAGTTCTATTTTTAATTTTTTGAGGAATCTCCATACTGTTTTCCATAGTGCCTGCACAAGTTTGCATTCCCACCAGCAGTGTATGAGGGTTCCTTTTTCTCCACAACCTCTCCGACACACAAATATTTTTGAGTGCCTGCCATATGCCGGGAACTTTGCTAGGAGATGGGGATGGTAATGAATAAGATAGCCTTGGGTTCTACCTTTATAGAAAATATGTAAGCACCCACAGAGCCATAGTCTTTGCTCTATCTCTACACCTTGGTCACCATTTACTCATAGTTTCTTTAGATGCTATTTTCTGTTGCTTTATTGGTTGCTGCCATTCACTTTCCTCCCTGAGACTCCACTGCAACTTACCTGTGTGGAGTAATGAGCTGAAGGTGAGCGTGCAGTTCTGCTGGTCAAAGGGGAAGTAAAATACATCCAGGTTACAGATACTGACAACCTTCATGGGTTTCTTATAAGTGATGCGACCTTCATTACTTATGTATGCTTTGAGGCCTTTTGGGGTCTTGTCCACATCCATGCTGTAAGAGAGATGAGGTGGGAGGCAGGTGCTAGGTTTTTCCTTCTTACCTCTCTGGTCATGTCTCAGCCATCTAAGACCACTTATAGTGGCCCCAATTGTAGATTGTGAACTCTACTGATACCAGGAGACGGGGCTTCCCTCCGGTTTTCCCCAGCCCCTGATACGCACAACTCAGTGATGAAAATGTTCGGGAGCCAGAGGTTCTCGGTTCCCACACTGATCTTCGTGATGTTTGCACACTCCTCTGGGTTCCATCGGATAAATGGGTTGTCCCAGACCTAGAGCCCACGTGGAGGAGAAGTGAGAGCCTGATAGGAATTGGGGTTATTTTCTCCTGCCCTTTGAGTTTTCTTAAAAAAAAAAAGTTAAGAAATATTTTTAGCACATAGAAAATAAGGTAGCACATAATATAATAAACATCTGTGTATCTACTGCTCAATGTTGCGGAGTCAATATTTTGATAAATTTACTTTGGCTTTGTTTCAAGAAATAAAAAGTACAGATATAATTGAAGTTCTCTTTGTCTATTTCTTCATAAACTTTGATCCCTCTGCTTCCTCACTTTTGTGAGAAATTACTGGTGATGGGGGAAATCCTCTCCTTTCTGCAGTAGAAATGAGATTCAGATTTGAAAGATTAGTGACTCAGCCTGTCTGAGCTAGAATCTCCTCAGTGTGAAATAAGGGTAGTAGTGAGTACCAAATGAAATAATGCATATAAAAGGATTTTCTAAATGGCAATGTTTTTCATAGATTATTATGTATTAATATCTAGCAAGGTTTCAACTGTTTTCCAGACCCCTCTCACCAGTGTCTATTGCAAGGAGACCTTGGACAAGCCCCTGGATTCTTTGAAGTCAAGAGGCTTAGTCAGTGGTCGTCCTCTCATTGGCAGGTGCCAGGCATCATCCTCTCTCCTCTCTGTGATGACCTTTCTAAGACAGGCAACCTTCTCTGGAAACTGTTTTCAAGGCTTGTCCGATTCTGGGTGGGCTTGTCTAGTCTCAGGACACTTTTAACATCTGCAGCTGCAGTTTGTGAACCACAGCCAGAACAGAGGGCTCTATGCACGTTAAATAAAGGTTTGTACTAGATTAGCACTTCTCAAACCTCACTGTGTGTATAAAACGCCTGCGGATCGTGTTGGAAGGCACATTCTGAGTCAGTAGGTAGGGTGACTAACTCATCCTGACTGGTCCGGGTCCTTTCTTGATTCTAGCACTGAAAGTGCCAAGTCCTGAGAACTCCTCAGTCTTGAGTGTGCTGGGGTGGTTGGTCACACTAGGTGGGGCCCAAGATTGCGTGCATTTCTAAGTTTCCACGTGGTGCAATCAGCCAGTGCTGCCCATCTGGGAACCACACTTTGAGAGCAAGGTTGATCATTATGATTCTTCCCTTCCTCTCTCGTTTCTTTTAACCAAGATTTCAGGTTAGAAACTTAATTCGTTTACTTTCATTTTTTACCTTTTGTTTTCTTTTTTTTTTTATTAATTTAAAAAAATTTGTTTTTTGAGGAAGATTAGCCCTGAGCTAACATCTGCTGCCAATCCTCCTCTTTTTGCTGATGAAGACTGGCCCTGAGCTAATATCCGTGCCAGTCTTCCTCCACTTTATATGTGGGACGCCTAGCACAGCGTGGCCTGCTAAGCGCTGCCATGTCCGCACGGAGATCCGAACTGGCGCATCCCGGGCCGCCAAAGTGAACGTGTGCACTTAACCGCTGCGCCATCGGGCTGGCGCTTCCCTTTTCTTTTCTAATTAATGCACTTATGATGTAAATTTTCTACAGTTATACTTTGACTACATTCCATAGATTTTCATTTGTAGTGCTCTTCATTTCTGATTTCTATTTAATTGTTTTATTTTCTCTTTAGCCTAAAGCATTTGGAAATTTAATTTTAAATCACCAAGAAATAAGGTTTTCGGAGGCGGGAGGCAGTTCTATGCTTTTGAGGTTAGTTTCTATTTTCATGTATTGTAGTCAGAGATTGTGGTCTAGATAACTTTTGCTTTCTTGATTTTGATTGAGATATTCTTTGTGGCCAAAAATATCATCAGTATGGGGGACTATTCCATTTGTGTCAGAAAAGATTATGCATGTTCATTGGTACGAAGTCTGATATGTTTATTAAACCAAGTTTCATAATTGTGCTGTTAAAAATCACTATATGTTTACTCTTTTTCTACTTGATTTTTGAAAGCAGTACATTGAAGCCTCTCACCATGATTGTGGATTTTTAAATTTCTCCCTCTTGTCTCAAAGCTATGTTGTTAGGTACATAAAGGGTCATAATTATTATATCTTAGTTTAAAATCCTTTCTGACTGTAAATGAAGGGAGAGAATAAGCATTGTTGGCCATACCATTTCCAGCCACAGGAATGATGACAGGAGCTGCAGCTGTTCATTCTGCCAAAAGAATTTCCTGTTACCAACATGTTGCTGGTAAGAAGTCTGTCCATCCCGCCCCACTCCTCATTTTTGTTTACCAACTCCCAAGGTATATAGAAGTGGTGCTGTGATCAAGCCCAACATGATAGATTAAGGACAAAATCTTGATTAAAACTGATGTGTTGGGCCATGGGCAGGAGAGTTCACAGCAGAACTGGATTAGAGTAGAGCTTCTCAATCCTGCCTGTATCTTAGCATTGCTTGAGGAGCTTAAAAATACCAATGCCTGGGTTCCGTCCAATCAGAACCTCTGGGAGTGGAGCCTGGACACTAGTATGTAGCCAGGATAGAGAATCACTGGGTGAGAAGAAAAGAAATTCTCTTCCATGTACTGTTATACCTCATCCTGCTGAACTGGACAGAGCATCTTTGAGATCCCCAGGCCATATAGCAACGATGGAGGAAGGTGCAATGTGGTCAAGGGCTTTGGAGATTGCCTTGCCAGGGGTTGGGAAAAAATTAAGAATACTAAGGAGGGCTAGAAGGGTCATCACTCACCACACCTAGGATGGCAGACAAAGTGAAGGAGATGTTGATTAGGGTGGGGATGCTGAAGTTGGCAGTCGGACGGAAGGCCTTCCTGTCAAACACTGAATCTAGAAGAGTGGGATACACCCCATGCTGGCCAAACTTTGTGCATTTGATGGTGAAAGTACTGCCCCATCCTGTAGTAGACATAGAATGAGTGAGAAGAGAGAGAGAACTCTTGTGTTCCCTGTATGAGAGAAGCCCAGGGCAGGAGCTTAGGGGTAGCCTGTGATAATAATGATAGCTGGCTTTATTGAGCATTGACTATGTGCCAGGAATAGTCTAAGTCTTTAAATGGTTTACCTCATTTAATCCTCCCAAGCCCCTGTCGGGTAGAAACTATGTTTATCCCAGGTGATCAATGAATTAACTGAAGAACAATAAGAGGAAATAAATTCCCAAGGTCAAATAGATAATAAGAGGCAGGAACTACTTGATCTGAACCTAGGTTTGTTTGATGCTGCTGTGCTATACAGCTCCAATGATGAGATAGAGGATGGGGGAGGAGGATTACCAAGAGGGGCCCAGCTGCTGAGCACTTCCCACCAAGGTCAGGGAGGATGTGTTGGGCTGGAAGGCAAATGATGGAAGCTAATGTAGTAGGCTGAATTAGAGCTCTGGCCTCCTTTCTAATGTTTCTGTCTCTATGCAAAGCATGCCCAAATGTATATGCAAACTGAGCCCTGGACAGCAACAGCCATCAGATAGGATTACATTCTCAGGGGCCCCAAGGAGAACACTCTTATTTCACCTTCACTGTCCCAACTTTCCTTCTCCTATTTTGCTGCTCAACCCTGTATCAGCTTTCTAGTTTGAGGCTTTTGAGATGTTGTCTTCTCCCTTTTTATGACTAATAATGATTCCAATTTTCTGCTGGTGGAAATTTGTTAGAAGAGCAACAACCTGGAATGAAAGAGATGGTTGATGACCAAGGACACCAAGCCCTATCCATTCCCAAAGTCACAATGCTCTCCAGGCAAATCCTTGAATCATTCCTTGAGCAATGACTATTCATTTGTCAATTACTGTCTGTGAATAACTAAAGGACCATTTATAATGTTGTCTGCTGACTAGACCAGGTATACAATTTGTGCCTCTTCCCTGTAGTGGCCTCAAAAGCCACCTCTGGTTCAGTCCTCTCCTGTGCCCTCTTATCCAGAAATCATGTGACAACCTAAGGAGAAGAGATGCCATTTATTGACACTTATCAAATGCTGGGCACTGTGCTACTCACTTTCTCTCATTGAATCCTCGCAACCGGCATGGTAGGTCCTATTTTACAGGTGAGGAAATTGGAGTTCAGAGAAACCAAGGTTAAACAACTAGCAAAGTCAGGGACCAAGATTCAAACCGAGGTCTGTCTGTCTCCAAATCCCGTTCTTTCCACTATACCATGTTAACTCCCTGCAAGAGAAGCACACTCTATCTTCACTCTCCACCTGCTGCCCTCTGGCATCTGACCTAACCCAGAACACTTGGATCCAGTACGTGGATGAGGAAGTTATGGTGAAAAGTGGGCACTTTGCTACAAAGGGGTGGGTTTCATAGCTTCAGAGAGAAAGAATTACACCTGTTTGTAAAGAGGGATGGATATAGAGGCTAAATGGAAGAGAAGACAACTGGAGATGGCTCATGGGATGATAAATAGAAGGGTTCTTGTGTCGCGCGTTGCTAGAAGGGGATATTCTGTCTTTAAGAGATGGAAAGTCTCTTTGGGCGTTATGGTAACATGGTTATGCAATACCTATGCCCATCTTAGATAAGCTCTAGGAGTTGGAAATTTGAAAGGAGTTCCTAAGTGTTCTACCAGAGAGGGTCTTGCTTCTCTCCCTATTGTTGCCTCTCTCTTACCTGGAAGTAGAAGACCAAGAACAAGGTAGAGGGACAATCTCTCCCTGTGGCACCAGCTTCCTCCCATCTTCTTTGTCTAAATTCTTCTCTGAGCATGTACCATCACTCAAGAATGCCCAGATTAAAAGAGCACAGGCCACACCTAGTCTAACTTTGAATAGCAATCGCATTGGTTGACCACTGACATTTGTAACCTTCCTGGAAAAAGTGATCTGGTTGTCTTGTTCTTGCCCGTGCTTGAGGTTCAGATTGCTTTTAAGACTTTCTTTCTTAGATATCTCACTACAATGTGTATGGCTGTGGATTAGTCAATATTTATCATATTCGGACCTTGATGTGATATCTGGATCTGAAGATTCATCTCTTCAATTCTGGAAAATTCTCAGCCCTTTAAAAAAATACTGTATTTCCTCTATTCTTCCTCTTATTAGACACATGTTGGGTCATTGCCTTCTATCTTATATGCCTCTTAACCTCTTCTATTAGTTTCCTATTGCTGTTGTAACAAATCATACATTTAGTCGTAAAAACCCCACAAATTTATTATTTTACAGTTCTGTAGGCCAGAAGTCTGAAATGAGTCTCACTGGGATAAAATCAATGTTTTGGCAGGGCTGTGTTCCTTCTGGAGGCTCTAAGAGCAAATCTATTTCCTTGTGTTTTCTAGGTTTTAGAGGCTGCCTGCATTCCTTGGTTCATGGTTCCATTTCCGTGTCTTTGAAGGCAGCTACCTTGGGCCAAGTCTTTTTCACACTGCCATCTCTCTCATTTTCATGCTCTCCTTTCTCCCTCTTCTTTCTCCCCTTATGAGAACGCTTATGATTACATTGGGCTTGCCTGGATGATCCAGGATAATCTCATCTCAAGGTCAGCTGATTAGCAACCTTAATTCTATCTGAAAGCTTATTTTCTCCCTTTTCATACAACCTAGCATATTCACAGGTTCCAAGATTAGGATGTGGACTCCTTCGGGGGTCATTATTCTGCCTACCATACCTCTCTTTCCTATTTTCCATCTCTTTAACTGTGTCCCTAGTAATTTCCTCAGATCTAGCTTCTGGGTAACAAATTGTCTTCTCAACTGTGTTTAAATTACCATCTAATCTGTCTATTTAGTTTTTAATTCCAATGATTATATTTTTCATTTCTAGAAGTTCTATTTGGGTCTTTTAAACATGCCTTGGTTCTTTCTTTCTTTCTTTCTTTCTTTGCCCTGCTCTGTTCTTTCATTTTGGTTTTCAGTCCTTCTTTGATCTTTTACTATTTGGAGAAAAACCCAAACAGAGGTCGCAGTTTGAATACTCCTAAACCAAACAGTCATAGTCACATATCCAAAATTTAAAACTGTCTTAATCTCTCCAGAATGCTGACTCTGACCTTAAACAAGTGTGTAAACTTACAGCTTCCTAGCTGATCAGCTACAAACACATAAGCTTAAGCAATGAAAAAGAATTTAAGTTTCTAGTAACCAGTCACACTAGAAAACAATGTACTTACTCATTCATACTTATAAAGTGAACTGTAACTACTGAGAGCTGAGCTTCTTAACCACTTTTGGTTGGGAGTCTCCCTATTCGTAAACAATTTGTTTCTTGGTCAACAAAATATTTGTATTAAGTAAAGTTCTGTGAATTTTCTTTGGACAGAACATGTTTATTTCACCATTTGTTTCAGATTGTTTTATTACATGTAGGTCTTGGTATGCTATTTTTGCTAACTTTGTCTCATTGTGGTTTGTTTCCCCATGTGATCTGTAATTCTTGGTTGTAAACTCATCTTCATTAGGAAATTATTTCAGTGGGAGTTTCATGTGCCTTGGGTTGTGAAATTTCCCTACAGAGAAAATTTTCATTTGCCTCTGCCATGACTTTTGGGGTTTTACCAAGTCTAGGCAATTTTTTGGTGTACATCAATTTTTAAAAGTCCCAAATCATATGATTGGTGTAAATTCAAACTCCACACCAATATGTGATACAGACTTGGTGTTTCAATTCCTTGCATATGACTTTTCCTCACCACCTCTTGCTCCAAGTCTTTGGCTGTATTTTAGATTCTGAGATTGGGGGAGTAGTGGATGGTGCGTTGGGAAACCCAGAGCTGCTGTGTTGAGAATATGTAGATTATGACCTGCTGAATGAAGAGGCACAAGCCACCCACACAGGGCCAGCAGGTAGCTTCCTTTGGCATCCAAGCTCCCACTTTGGGGGAAGTGAAAATCCCTGGGGCCAATTTGATTGAAGGTGCAGTTTTAATACCCTCACACAAAGGAAGTGAATCACGAGGTTTATTACTTACAGATCACAGAATGAGGGTGCAGTGAGCTGGGGGAAGAGCAGTCCTCCCTCCCAGGTCACGAGCAAGTGGGAGATAGAGAGCCGGGTAGCAAGTACCTATTACTTATAAAGCAGTTGGGGTGGCCATCACTAATTTTTCATGGGCTCAACTCTGAGTGGTCATTTTAAAAGGTGCTCTGGGGAAAAGCAAGGCGGGAACCTGTGGCCAGGATCCTAAGCTCGGGTCCTTATCTAAATATCCAGACTCGGTGTGAGCAGGGTTGTCATACTGTCAAATGCCTGGGCAACAACTCAAAATGGCTATTTTCTCATCACAGATGGCCAGCTCAGAGACATATCAGTCTGCAGTCTGGTTGCTAATAACGTCAGAAGATGTATGATAAAATTCTCATTCTGAAAAAAAAACCCCACAAAGATAAGAATCTGTATTTTTAGGTAATTTTGAGGTCATCTATTACAATCTTTCAGCCAATGTAGTTTTATCCCGAAGTATCTTTGATCAATGGTCATCCAACCTTATGGTTTAATATTAATACTTCCAGTGACACCATTCCATTGCTTCTTAGATTATCCTATTTTGTCTTTGAACAAAAACTCTGGTTACTTGAAAATTTTTTTAAAATCCAAATTTGGCTTCTTGTAACTTACACCACTGGTGTAATCTTTGCCCAGTAGAGAATAAAGAATAAGTTAATTCTGTCTTCTGCATCACACCTTTCAAATATTTTAAGACCATTATCATGTGTGATGGAGGAATGTGTAAACCTTAAACTTATGAAATTTTCAGTCCTCACTGTTCCTCCCAACACACATATATCTATCTCTGTGCAGCCCCGTAAGTCTGTTTCCTCTGTAACCCTGTCTGCTGTGGGGAGGGCAAGTGCTACCCTCAGAAGAATGACTCATGGAAAATCTCTACTGCAGTAGAAGGAGACTAAATTCTTCTTTTTTTGGCCTGATGGAATACGGGACAAAGGAGAGAAGAAGAAATAGAGAGAGAGACGCTCCCTCCCAGCACACACACACACACACAATTGGGCTCTCTGTGCTTAAATCTGAGACTGTGTGTGTGTGTGTGTGTGTGTGTGTGTGTGTTGGGAGGGGCTAGATAGGTTGAGAGAAAAGCCAAAAGCAGAGGCGGGCTTGTGCCCCACCACTCATTTGGGATTCTGGAAAGAACTGCCATTGCTTGTGGCCACAAACAGTCATGTGGAAGCTGTTGGAGTACAGAATGGTTAGGCAGAGAGAGAGCCTGATTTAGCGCTCCTAGCACCTTCCTCGGTCCCCATAAGATGTGGAAGGGCACCAGGAATTCCTCCGTGCCCTGCATGGAAGGTGGATGGAGGCTGCACTGGGAGCTTACACAGCTACTGTGGAGCCAGTGATGGATGAAGCAACTCTACAGTGAAGCCTGTGAGATGGACTATTAAGGCTGGAAGGAGGCCGTGGGCGAGGCTCTGAGGGGTCTGCAGCAGCAGCAATTGCTGTGGTGGGACCAATGCAATGACGGAAAACTCTGTCAGAGCCAAGAGTCAGACCAAGAATTCACCAGAGGCAGACTTGAAGCAGCAGGTGCCAGCAGAGCACCCAGCGACCAAGAGACAAGAGATATCACCATGGAGACAAGAGAATTTAGAGGACTCACAGGACCTGCACATGCTGATGGAAGGCATATCTTTCTTCTGAATGTTTTGAAATCTTCTCTCCTAGTGTATGTCGTCCATGTTTGATTCTGCCCAGTTGTGTATTGATTTTGACCTTTAGAAAGCTACATTTTGAAAAGGAAATAATGCCCTGATGTCCAGAACTGATCTGACACTTGCAGGTCGTTTTGTTCTCCTGTTGGATGTATACAATTTTACACAATACCAACCTCAGTCATGATTATCCTGAGACCATGACAGAATGAGACAAAACAAGGCTGCTTTGTACTTTTGTCTAAGCACACACAAAAGCAAGATAACCATGGGGCCAACCAAGCAGTGTAGCAGTTAAGTTTGTGCACTCCGCTTTGGTGGTTGGGGTTTGCTGGTTTAGATTCCAAGCGCGGACCCACACACGGCTTATCAAGCCATGCTGTGGCAGGCATCCCACATATAAAATAGAGGAAGATGGGCACAGATGTTAGCTCAGGGCCAATCTTCCTCAAAAAAACCCCAAAAACCAAACAGAAAAATAAGATAACCATGCAAACCCACAAATACCAAACATTCCCCTTCTCTTGCTAAATGAATAACTGATACTTTTTTATCCAATCATACCCTTGAATTCTCTTAAGTATTCAATCTTGTACAAATCCCACTTCTTTATTCTCTCCCCAAATCACTCACTGGCAGCCCAATTCCTGTGACAGGTTCTTTCCAGTACTCTCTTACTGAGAAAACCCATGGGTACCTATGGTGTATATTCTCCCTTCTTGCAATGAGTAGTAAAGCCAATTTGTTTAACAATAGGTGTGTTCCTGACGTCTTTGGCAGAGGGTATTGGCAAGTGAAATTGTCATTTTCCCCCAAGTTCCCATCACTGCTATATCACCAACTACTGCTTTCTTCTTGGTTGATCTATAGTAAGCCCAAACAATTGAGCATCAAAATAAATATTGATAATAACAGATTGTAACTCTTTGAATAAAATAGGGAACCATGAACCCATACTGATATAAATGAGTGAATGAGTAAAGAAAAGGAAAAGCTGTCCTTTACATTAGAATGCCAATGAGTAAGTGTAGAAGAAACGATGGAATTAGAAAATCCCAATTTTGTAAAGACAACAGAATAAGTAATTCATTCAAGAACCATCACAACGAGGAATGAGATAATTACATAGTCTCAAAGTATCTCTCCACAAAATACTTATTAATTACAAAGTATGCCATGCTTGTTAATGACTATCTTTACAGTGGAGAAACCTGTCAGACCTCATTTTAACTAAGTGATAACGGTTAATATCATCAGTAAAGGAACAAATTGACGTTACGCACT